AAAATCGCATAACAGCCGAGCATACACCCAGCAGCGCTGCTGATGCCTGAACGGTATGTGGAATGAAGTGGGCGGGCATCGGGAGGCCACTATGGCACGGGGCAAGCACTATGGGCAGTCTATCTGAAGTGTACCTGGCGTATAAGACGACCCCCCACTTGGAGGCATATTTTTCAGGGCCAAAAAATCGTCTTATACGCCGGCAAATACGGTACTTAATTTTATCATCAGTCTTAAAGGATGACAACAGAAACAAAAAGCATTTGAAATATTTGAGAAGTTGTTTCTCCTTACATTTTTTTAAAATATATTTTTATTGATTTCAGAGAGGAGAGGGGTAGAAAGAAACATCAATGATGAGAAAGAATCATTGATCGGCTGCCCCCTACTGGGGATCGAGCCTGCAACCCAGGCTTGTGCCCTTGACTGGAATCGAACCTGGGACCCTTCAGTCCACAGACTGACGCTCTATCCACTGAGCCAACCTAGCTAGGGCTCTCCTTACATTTCTAATTTACTCAGCATCTATTGAGCTTCTAATAATGTACAAAACTTCAAGCACAAGAAATGATCAGTGAGTTACTGATGCAAGTTTCCAGGTAAATTTGTCCAGTAGTTTTTCCAATTCTTATCAAAATACTAATTCAGAAACAATACAAAGCAAGTCATCACCATAGAAAAAAAGCAAATAACAAGAACAAACATAAAATAACATCACACCTGTACACCCAACATGCCACTCAGCAATTTGTGAGATTGGAAATACCTACATTAACATTACTATTGGGAGCAGATTTATTCTTACATTTAATGAATATTTTCTGAATATCTACTATGTGCCACGTTAAGTGTGGGTGCACAATGGGAAACAAAACAAAGAAACCCTTCCTTCATGGTGTGGGTTGGTGGCACGGTAGGTTATTATAACCCAGATATAAGAACAGACTGTCTAGATCAGCCGTGAGCAAACTACGGCCCGTTTGAAATGAATAAAACTATTGAAATAAAAGACCGTACTCTTTTATGTAATGATGTTTACTTTGAATTTATATTAGTTCACACAAACACTCCATCCATGCTTTTGTTCCGGACCTCCGGTCCAGTTTAAGAACCCATTGTGGCCCTCGAGTCAAAAAGTTTGCCCACCCCTGGAGATTGATTTCCTAGCTCTACCACTGTGTGACCTTGAACACTTGACTCCAATTTTGGGGGGCTACCAGGAAGAGAGCTAAAATTTGGGGCCAAGAAGGGAAGGCATATCTTATGAATAAGAATGAATGTGAAGGGCACTGGCCCAATTTCAAGTAATTTTGATCTTTGATACCAGATGAAGGTGATCCCATATCACAAATGCCTACACGTGCCTGGCATAAAAAAGAACTCTAGCCGAAACTGGTTTGGCTCAGTGGATAGAGCGTCGGCCTGCGGACTGAAGGGTCCCAGGTTTGATTCCGGTCAAGGGCATGTACCTGGGTTGCGGGCACATCCCCAGTAGGAGATGTGCAGGAGGCAGCTGATCGATGTTTCTCTCTCATCAATGTGTCTAACTCTCTATCTCTCTCCCTTCTTCTCTGTAAAAATATCAATAAAATATATATTTAAAAAAAGAACTCTACTCTGGAGAAAAATAATACCATCCTAAAATCAACTATTCCTACAAGCAATTTTTCTGAATCTGGGCCAAAATTATCAGAAGCAAAATTTAAAATAACTATGCTTACCATTTTCTTTTTTTTCTTTATATTGAATTTATTGGGGTGGCACTGGTTAATAAAATTATATAGGTTTCAGGCACACAATACTACAACACATCATCTGTACACTGTATTTTGTGTTCACCACCCCAAGTCAAGTCTTCAGCCATCACCATTTATCCCCCAATATACCCTCCTCCTCCCATGCCCCCAGCTCTCCACCCCACCACTGGAAATGCCCACACTGTTGTTCATGTCCGAATTTTTTTTCTTTTTTCGCTCAATCCTTCCACCATCACCCCCCATCAACTCCCCAGTAGTTCTTAGCTACTGTGGAAAGCAGTATGTGGAGTGACCTCAAAAAGTTAAAAATGGAACTGCCTTATTCCACTTCTAGGAATTCCACTTCTAGGAATTTATCCCAAAAACCCAAAACACTAATTAGAAAGAATATATGCATTCCTAAGTTCATGCAGCATTACTTGCTATACACAAGATTTGGAAGCAGCCCAAGTGCTCTCATGGATGAATGAAAAAAAATTGTGGTACAGCCCTGACTGGTAGCTCAGTGCTTAGAGCATTGGCCTGTGCACCAAAGGGTCGAATGTTCGATTCCTGGTCAAGAGCACATACCTAGGTTGCAGGTTCAATCCCTAGTTAGGATGTGTGTGGTAAACAATCAGTTGATGTGTCTCCCTCACTTGGATGCTTCTCTTTCTCTTGCTCTTTTTCTCTCCCTTCCTCCCTTCTACTCTCTCTAAAATCAATGGAAAAAATATCCTCAGGTGGTCTACTAGCAACAATCCATAGACAAGACACCAGTATGAAAGCCCCATGGTGTGGCTGAGCTGAGTGGGTGGCCCCATCTGGACAAGGAGCTCAGTGGGCAGTTCTGATTGATTTGGGTCCACAGTCAGAGAGCCCAAGGCCATAGAGCCTGTTTCATGACCCAACCTATGCAGGCTAGCAAATTCACTTGACCATTATGGAATACAGTATGGAGATTCCTCTAAAAATTAAAAATAGTTCTACCAATGACGCAGCAATTCCAGTTGCAGCATATATAACTGAAGGTTAAAGTTATCTCAGAAAGTCATCTGCACTCACATGGCCATGTTCACTGCAGCGTTACTTACATAAGCCAAGGCAGGGAAAGCCTATATGGAATATCAATCAGCCATTGAAGGGAAATGCTGTCATTTTCAACAACATGTATAACCCTTGAGGGCATTATGCTAAGTGAAATAAGTCAGGCAGAGAACAACAAATGTGTGATATCATTTACAGGAGGAATCTAAAAGACTGAATTCATAGAAACAGAATATAGACTGGCAGTTGCCAGGGGTGGGGAACATGGGTGTAAGTGGTAAAAAAGTGCTAACTTCCTGTTACAAGATTAATAAATAATGGTGAGTATAGTTAATTATACTGTATTGTGTGTTTAAAAGTTGCCAAGGAAGTAAATCTAAAAGTTCTCATCACACACAAAAAATTTTAACTATGTGAGGAGTATATGTGTTAAATTTATTTTGGAAATCATCTTGTAATATATACATACCTCAAATCATTACATTGTATACCTTAAATTTATACAATACTATATGTCAACCAGAGGCCTGGTGCACAAATTCGTGCATGGGATTGGGGTGAAGGATTGCAGGAGGTTGGCTGGCCACAGGAGGTTGGCTGTGGGAGCGCACTGACCACCAGGGGGCAGCTCCTACGTTAAGCTCCCTGGTGGTCAGTACGCATCATAGCGATCAGTCGTTCTGGTCATTCGGTCATAACGGTCGCTTAGGCTTTTAAATATATCTATTATATCTATTAAATCTGGGGGGAAATATAGTCAAAAAGTACAGGAAACATTTAAAAAAATGGACTACAGTCCTCAAGAGACACCTTAACGACAGAAGATATACAGATAACAAATAAGTATATAAAAAATGCTCTATATCAGTGGTCACCAACCAGTGGTCTGTGGACCACTGCTGGTCCATGAGGTCCGAAAAGTTGGTGACTGCTGCTCTATATCATATGTCATCAAGGAAATGAAAATTAAAACAACAACAAGATACCATGTCACAACTATCAGAATGGCCAAAATCTAAAGCCCTGACATCAATGGTGGCAAATATTTGGAGCAACAGAAGCTCTCATTCATTGCTGGTGGGACTGTAACCTGTATAGCCAGCCACTTGGGAAGACAGGTTAATGGTTTCCTATAAAACTAAACAATCTCTTACAACACAGTCTGGCAAACATGCTCCTTGGTATTTACCCAAAGGAGTTGAAAACTTATGTCCATATAAAACCTGCACAGGGATGCTTATAACACCTTCAGTCATAGTTGCCAAAACTTATAGGCAATCAAGATGTTCCTCAGCAGGTGATGGATGAATAACTGTGGTCCATCCGGACAGTGAAACATTACTCCGCACTAAAAAGAAATGAGCTGGATATAAAAAATGGCAGTAGAGTAAGCAGATGTTACACAGACATGCTCCCAGGACAAAACTGGAATTACAACTAAAATACAAAAAAGCCTTCCAGAATAATCAACTGAAGACTGCCTGGAGAGAACCCTGATAATCAGGGACTGAAAGTGGAGACCGCAT